GAAGCAAGGGCCAGGTCATCTACATACCTGGTGGCTGCAACGGCATCTGAAAAGGCAAACCCTTCAGGAAGGAAATCACAACCGCTTCGCTCAACCGATTGATCGACAAACTGTGCCTCAGAAAACCCCAGGAAGACTGAAGCAAACTGCTTCGACATGAAGCCGCCGATAGGGACACCCGTCTTTGTTGGTATACTGTCGGACCAACTCTGACGGCAGTCTGCTGGAGCACCAGCTCGGAAATCAGTTCGATCTCACCCCAACGGTGCAGTTCACATCCCTGTGATGGTCGGAAGTTGTTGCGTGCAAACCAATAGTGAAGACGACGGTTTTTCTTGGTGACTATTCCAGAAGCATCGGAGGTTGTTTTGAGCTCAGCAAGAATGTAGCGCAATCGAGACAACACCTCGGCTTGGTCAACTTCTTCGAACAACTGGGCCGCATCTCCAACCCAGAGGCAAAGGGCAGGTTTAGGACGGCAGCAACGGTGGCAGGTTGACACGAAGGGGTGGTCATGCCGCAGCTTGCTAACAGCAAATCGGAAATCCTGAACAGCAGAAAACAGATCTCTGGTTTCAAAGCCTTTGCCCCATAGTCGAATCGCAGCCTCAAGAGCCCTTGCAGTAAGCTTGTACATCCTTCGGCGCGGGTGAGCAGCCCAACTGACAACGCGCCTGCAACACGCATGATGAAGCTTGGTGCAAATACGACCCACTCCGCTTTGGAAGCACTTTGATTTGACATTGACGTACATATATGGTAAGTGCCAATTAGGCCAGCGAGGGCGGGCACAAACATGTTGCATGTGCACTGGCAGCTTTTGGGCATGAAGCTCTCGGTACTGCTCCACAAAGCTAGACGACGATTCCGAGCTACGAACCCAGTGATCTTCATCCTGGTTTACCATAAGAGCGAACAGCTTATAGTACACTCGCAGAGGCATGACCCAACAGGAAGACTTGTCTTTGTCTTCCTGGGCAGCGACAAAACCTCGGGGAACGTGGAATTGGGAGACAAGCTTATGGTGCAACTCAAGGCCAGGCTCCTTGAACCTTGGCCGCACAGAATGGAACCAACCCCAAAGCGGACGCTCGCAAGCACGGCTCAAGGAAACAGGTATCGAGCGCGCCCAAACGGACAAGCTATTGCATGCAAAAGTCACAGCTGCCTTCACAGATTGCCAAACCGATGTTTTCCAGTACAGCTTGAGGAGCTTCATCTGCGCACCTTCTTGCACAGTCAACTGAAGTTCAGCAGCTCGCATGCCAAACCAACTCTCGTCACGCATATGCTTGCAGACACGCACATGGTTCCACATCTTTGAGTATGTGGTGCGCGGGGGTCGCACAGCCTGAGCAGTGTGAATAAACCATTTTGCCAACAGCGGTGAGCACACCCTCATGAGTTGGTATCGGACATCACGCATGCAACCGTCGAATATGCGCCGGGGTATCTGTTCAGGCCATAAGACACGGCGCTTGTGTGAAGTCGGAAGTTTGTGTAACCGGAGCCATTGATTGCAAACTCTCATACCTCGGGCCCTCATGCAAGAGCTAGGTTGCTTACTCAACGCAAACATGGCAATAATAGCCTCGCACCCCGGTGGCTCATCTTGCAAGGCCCAACGCTGACGGATTGAATCCCAACAAACCGAACCAGGTTGGCAAACGTACCGTGCAAGCAAGGGCTCACAGTAGCAGGCACGCAAGTCCAAGGGACCGTAGGTCCCATCAAGAGCCAACCTGTGCCTGTACACATGCCAGTACGCATCCACAAATGGCAGACCAAAGGCTAGCTGCAAGTACGCCATGTCAACATGGGTCTGATGCATAGAAACATTTCTTTTCAAAAGTTTTGTTGCACAACCAACTACATGCCCGACGTGCTGTTCATGCATGTGCTGTGGCACTAACCTGCTGCGAAAGCGTGGCGGTGCACGTCTTGCAGTACAGCGGCTGGCATTGCTGCGTCTTCTAGGCTTGTGCACTGAAGTTTGAGTGCCTTGACTATTTGCAGGCCAGCTACCCACTCGGAGAAAGCAAGTTTCAAGCGCACGAGCCACAGGCAACCGCGTCACACACACGACCCAAATGCATAAGTCACCAAGGTGCAACTGTTCGAAAAGCCGCGTCTTACGCAAATGCTTTGCATGGCTAACACGACAACGGGCCATCCTAATCTCATGCAGGTGTTCATAGAAGCGCGGCATGGCTACTGACATAGTGCAGCGCCACACTCTTCGTGCACACCCAGTACTTCCGAGGTACGCATGTCTTGGCGAGCACAATGCGTAAAGCAGACCATCTTCTCGACTACCCAAGTTGGCACAATCAAGCTGTATGGCAAGAAAATGGCTGCAAGCTCGCCGTGCGGACTCAGTCAAAGTACCTTGGTGAAAGACAGCAGCTGCAAAATCAGGATGGGCACATTGCAAACGATGTCGAGCCCACTGTTGTCTTTTTCGGCCACTCAAGGCTTGCCAGCGGGTGTGCAACAACATGCGTATGGCACCAATCACTTGCAACATGCGGTCAAACTCTGCACCTGTCTTCCGTTTCGTCTTCATGGCAGGACGCAACATCCACTCGACCATCGTCCGGGTTACTAGGCCCAGCTGATGCGAAAGGCTTTTTGCAGCCTGCTTATCGTCAAGCGCAATCAACGCACAAACGGCACAGCCTACCAAGCATGAGTCAACAGCAGTCTGGCTTCTCGTTTCGACTGGGAACTGCTGCTTCAAGCAATCCTCAAGCTTCACGATTTCATGTTCAGGCACAACAATTTGCGCTGCCCAAGCCTGCAATGCCTCCAAAGTTCGACTCACCAACTCTTGTTCCGACGCTGGTTTGCAAGATAACAAGCTCTCTACCAAGCAGGGCCGGTCAGAGCTTCTCGGAAGGATGAGTGACGATGTTCGCAAGGAGCCGCGGTCACATGCAGACTCAGGGGAGCCGGTGGTGTGCTTTCTATCAAGCATGCGCCAGCATGCACAGCCAACTTGCACGATGACCAAGTAAAAGCGAAAGATACAACAACCAAGGAAACCCAACAGCCGCCAAGCAGTGCGCTTAAGCCTTCTTCGGATTCTGCGTTTCACGGTTCGCTGCTCAGGGCGACGACCACGGTGCACAGGCATTAAGCGCTTGCATCAGATGAAAGCAATATGGCAAGGTATGCAATGTAAGGTTGGGCACACAGAGCACGTATGCACAGTACCGGCCAGGCTGTCAGCCTAGCACAGCAGACAAGCGGATCAAGGTTCAAGCTTTATAATGGAAAGTTCAGACAGAATGCCTGTGGGGTGACGTGCTGCGCCGGGACCACACACAGCAGCGCAGGTCCGGTCAGCAGCACTGGACAATTACAATTGGGATCATGAGGCAAAGATTGGTCAGCTCAAGTTTTTTGCTCACTCTAGTCTCCGCCACCTAGTTCTGACTTGAGCGCGGACTGCGCCAGAACTCGGCAACACTACAGGAGTGCTCTGTAGCGTGACTACGTCCAAATGTTTGTACACGCTTGAACCTTTAATTCAGCGCAAAAGGGTTTCATAAGTCATCGGATCGTTTACAGGATACAGCCAACAGCACATCTATAAGAAACGACCTGTCACATGGTCAAAGCACAGTAAAGCCCATTAAAAAACTATAGCGCCCTTATAAAGCCCTTTAAGTCATAAAACACAAAAAAGCGGATAAGACGTTTTATAAAGTCATAAAGACCTACTGTTTGAATTAAGTTCCCGACTAAGAATCCTGCCGTTAGCGGACTCCTTGTTGGAGTTTAGTGCTTCAGGGCTCAGGCTTTTATTCTAGGCAGTACTAGGGAGACCCCTCAAAGGGGACCCTTCCTACCTTACTTCTGGCTCTCTTAAACGGGATTTACTGAGAGGGTCTAGATTTTCAAGGGTGCCCCTAATCCTGACTCCCATTTAATGTTGAGGGCTTCAGGGTTTTAGGGTTTAAGGGGTTTCGGCTTTAGGGCTTCAGGGCTTTAAAGATTTAGGGATAAGAGTAACTGCAAGGCTTTAGTCTTTGAGGGGTTGAGGATTCAGGGATTAAACCCTAAACCCTAAACCCTAAACCCTAAGTTTAGGGGATGGAGCTGTGGATGAGGGTTTCGGGCTCGGGTTTAGGGTTTAGGGTTATCCTTTAGGTTTTGAGAGTTTAGGGCTTGGTCGATTGACGCAGTTCTGCCTATACCTTCAACGCTTAACCCGTGTTTAGGGTTTTGGGGTTTAGGATGGTTTAGGGGCTTCAGAGGCTTTGTTTTTCCCGGTTTCTGGGGTGCTGTTCTAGACTAGGATGCCTTTCTTGGTCTAGGACATTTCCAGGTGGGTAGTTACCGTTATAGGAGCCTCCCCAGAGACTCCAATATCCCTTAACTAGGGAATATGCCTTATCTGATTAGGGTTCCTACTATAATTTCAGGT